GGACTGCGGGCCATGGCGCAGGCGCCCGCCAGCCTAGCTGCCTCGGTTTCCCCCATCACTTCCTCTGGGTACGGCTGGTGTGGAAGGTGAAGTAGGGCTGTGCTTGGCTTCAGTCCCGCTGGCGGATCGTCACCCTGGAGTCTGCGCAGGCTGCGGTGCGTGTCTGCAGTTCGTGGTGTCTGCGTTCCTCTTGGGGATTCTCCTTTTTCCACTCCCCTCTGCCCACCCCAGCTCTGGACTCTCTTCCCGTTTGAAAAGGTCTACTCCAATCTTTCCTTTTATCCTTTTCTATTGTTTATACTTTGGGTTTCTCATAGAAGAGAAATCATGTGAAGTTTAAGCTTCTGTGTCAGACTTATTTATTATTGGTGCCAGGAATCGAACTCGGGCCCTTGGGCTTGTGAGGCAGCAGGTGGTGCAACCACTGAGCCAAATCCCCGGCTCTTTCTGTCTTATTTCACTCAACTTTGTGGCCTGGAGGTGCAGCATTTCCCCACAAATGAGTCCCGGTTACCCTTCTTTATGGCAGAGTAGTACTCCACTGTGTTAAACTCACATTCCCCCGCTGGTGGACACCCGGGCCACTTCCCAGATTTAGCTTTTCGGGCTGTGCTGCTCTAAACATGGTGTGCACAGATCCCGCACGGTGACATCGATGCCTGGAAGGAGGAAGGCTGGGCTGAGTGGAATTTCCGGTTTAGTTTTGTTGTTGAGCTGAGTCTTCAGCCCTGTCTCCTCTCCTTGCCTGGCCACCCCGCGTGGATGCTAAGCTGCACCGCAGCGCCGGCTCCAGCGTGCATGACTTGGGCGCCGAGCACGTGTGTGTGGTCTGACATAGCTCACTGAGTAATTTCCTCAGAGTCTGAGGATTAACAGAGAGAAAAGCACACCTGAAACTTTGAAGTCAGCCTGTGCCATTTCGTGAGGCTTTGTCTCAAAATAAGAACTAAGGCTGGCGCTGAGCCCACCCAGGTGTCAGTGGGCACCCCGGCCCAGGCAGGCTGTGATCAGGATGGAAAATGAGGGCTCCCAGCCTGGCCCATTTCAGTGGAGTCCAGTGGCCAAGGGCACAGGCCCTGGGCAGCATTGTCGCTGCCTGTGGCCTGCCTGTCCCTGTCGTGTCCCAGAGTCCTTAGATGATGCAGCTCTCACTCCACAACGTGACCGTGAGGCTCATGAGTGGACAGGAGCAACAGCAGCATGTGTGTGTAAATCTTCACTGCTGCTGCTTGGTGATTTCTGCTAAATGACATCCTAAGGCCCTGGTGGTGCACACCTGTCATCCCAGCGCTTGGGAGGCTGAGGCAGGAGGATCTCTGTGAGTTCAAATCCAGCCTGGGCTACAGAGTGAGTAAAAGAGCAGCCTGAACTACACATCGAGACCCTGTCTGAAAAAAAAACAAAAAATAAATAAAACACTGTCATGTTTGAGGCTTTTGTTAGCGAAGTATAATTTAGCTGCTTTTATCACCAAAAAAGCCATGTGAGGTGATAGCCATTAACCTGCTTCCCGACAGCAACCGTTTTCCCGTCTGTACACAGCAGATCATATTTTGAGAACGTCAAACATACACAGTTGTTAGGAGAGAGTAGAAGGATGTGACGTGGGTCGGCAGCCTTTTCCACTGCGCACAGCACGCGTGTGGCACTCCGTATGAGTGAGCCGAGTGCGTCTGTCTCCCACGAACTCTTGGTGCCGCTGGCTCCGTGGGTAGCTTGGTGGCTGCACACGGCCCACTTCCATCCCCCCAGGCCCGAGTGTCACAGCTTTGGGGTCCGTGCATCCTCCGAATGTCGGTCACAGTCGCGCCCGGTTCCAGCCTCACGCCCTCCCGCTGCCGTCCTCCTCTTCCTCTTCTCTCACGGAGCAGCCTCCCATCCTCTCAGGGTCCACACTAGGGAGACCACAACTGATTCACGTCATCCGCTGTCCCTTCCGGTGGCCGCCGGGCTGTTTAGTGGCCCCGTGGTCTGCACTGCCGCTCTGGCAGTGACCAACACGCAAGGCTCCGTGGCTTCTTGTGTGAGTGACCCGGGCCCAGGCGTGGCCTCCTGTCCTCGAGTGCAGCCTGTCCCCTGTCCCGTCGTGGAAACTGGGCCTGGGCCTGCCAGAGCAGCGACCAAGCAGGCTCCACCGACAGCAGAGGGGCTTGCGTGCAAACACTACCATTTATAGTTATGCTGGCCTCAGGTCCAGCTGCCCCACAGCCGAAGGGAGAGCACTGTTCCGGAAGTGGAGATCTGTGGGCCAAAAGCCACTCCTTGTTCCATCAAGAGCCAGAAAAAGCGCTGTTAGTCTTTAACTCAGAGAATAAATCCTCGTCGTAGCAGCCACTTGGGATGGAGAGCCGGCCCCCTCCAGCTGCGATTTACTTACGGGCGTTTGTCTGATGCCTTTGCAGATCCTTCCTCCACTTGAACCCTGAGGACCTGGACCACACAAACACGTCCAAGTAAGTTCTCCCCGTCACCGAAGCAGAGCGACCGGCCTGCAGGCGTGTGGAAGTGGTCACTCCAAACGAGCTGCGACCCCTGGCCTAGGACTGTATGTCTCTCTATTTGTGCTTTGGTTTTGGTCTCCAGAATGATTTACAGTGTTTCCCTGCCTGACAAAAGCACAGCCAGCCACGTTCTTTTGCTAAGAACATGGGCAAGAAAAAGACCTAGGACTGCATGCCAGACGCTATTAAAATACCAACTTTTTTTGTAAAGAAACTATTTCCAGGCCTGTGTTGATGGTCTGCTTGTCTCAGGCAGAGGCCAAAACAACAAAGTGTGACTTCGGCCAAAGAATTCAGACAACCCAGCGCCTGCCTTGTCACGAACACTGGCTCAAAGCTGCAGCATCCTAGGGCTGCTGGCTTTCTTTTTCACCTGTTTTTTTTTTTTTTTTTTTTTTTTTTTTTTTTTTTTTTTTTTTTATCGCATTTCACCTAAATGTGGTGGTTGTGGGGTGATGATGCTGCAGTAGAAAATTTCCTTTAGTGCCAGGGAAGCAAAGTTCGTTTTAAGCCAGAGCTCCTAGGGCTCTAATGTGGCTTTGCTCCCTGAAAGATCATGGCTGTACTCTTATTTGCAGTGTGTATTGGTTAGCTTTTGCTGTGTAACAACCACGCCAAAAGGTACTCACTCTAAATAGCAGCTGTTTATTTCTCTCCCAGCCTCCTGGCCCACCAATTTGGGCTGGACTTTGTCGGTCGTGTTGTTCCTCTGCTGCGAGCTGGCCCTTCAGCCGTCAGGCCCAGGCCCTTAGGGCTCGGATTCTAAGGGGTCACTGGCTGTCGGCAGAAGTGAAACCGTGGCCACACTGTGTGCTTTGTTGTCCTTCACTGCTCACAAGGTCCTGAGACGGTGTCGAGAGATAGATAGGTGCTGGGGCCAAAGCCAGAATGGCCCAGCGTTCCTCAGGCTGAGGCAGGCATGTGGCTTGCTTGGGTCACAGGGAGGACATATAGATTCTCTTATTTATTTTTCTTTTCTTTCCTATTTATTTATGATCCCAGGGATTGAACCCAGGGCCTTTATGATCCAGCCCTGTTTTAACATATTTTTTTTTTTTAATTTTGAAGCAGGATTGTGCCAGGCTGCTTTAACTTGAAACCCTTCTGCCTCAGCCTCCCAGGGTACTGAGATTACAATGTGCAACACACGTGGTCTGGCTCAGATTCTCCTGGATGAGGGGAGCCTCGGAATCTGATTGCAGGAGTGGGAGACCCTCAGTGTCTGGGGTCCCTGAGAACAGCTGTGTGGAACAGGAAGGGTGTGGGTGGGGACCAAGCTGGGCCGCCACCCTGTCCTGCTGACTGGCACTCCGAGCCCCCCGAGCTCCCGTCAGTTCACAGGGTGGTCCCCCAAACCGGGCACTCCCATGGCACCACAGGAAGCGCCCTCCTCCCTTGGGGCCACCTGCGAGCCGCCTACCACCCTTCGGAGGCCCCTCTAAGAGTCCCTCTGCTCCACTGTGGCCCCAGAGCAGGGCTGAGGGTGTAGCCGGTACTGGACACGGCCCCAGCGTGGACTCTGCTGCACCATATGCCAGAGCCACACAGCACCCGGGAGCCACAGACGCAGGGTCCTCTCCCTGGGCCCATGTTCACGGATGGCTTGACACTCACTCGCGATGGAGAAATTTACCCCCAGCCTGCTGGGAGCCTCACAGACTCAGCCTCCTGAGCTGCAGTTCACCTATCTGTGCATGGCCATAATACTTAATTCAGAGGTCTCCGAGAAGAGCCAGAAGTGGGGCACACACCTGTCATCCCAGCATCCAGGAGGCTGAGGCAGGAAGATCACCTCCAGTCTGAGGCCAGCCTAGGCTGCACAGAGACCCTGTATCAAACCACCCCCAAAAAGAAAAGATCCAAAAGAACAACTCGTGTAACGCTACTTTCTAACCCGTGAAATGCGAGCACAGGGGACGGGGGCGAGCGGCGTCGGTGACTTGAGGGCTCGGCAGTGGCAGTGACAGCAGCAGCAGGCCACGCCCACTGTTCACGGGGCACCGCTCCTCCCAGGGGGCGTTGGAGGTGTGCAGGAGGCACCTGCCCGCTGGCGTCTGTGCCGTGTTTATTTAAATCTCCGCAGCCCCGTATCTGCAGTCCGCACGACCACATCCGCCAGAGGTGGCCGTGTCCAGCACATCCTCACTGTGCTCCCCGCCGATGTCTCTTGATCCTTTCCCACTTTTTTTTGGTTCTGTTTTCTTTTAGTTTGGTTTTTTCCCATTTACAAAAGATTCTATAACCTCTTCACCATAAGTGAATGATACTTATAGATTTTTTTTTAACTCTTCAAAATATCAGCTAAAACGTACCTGTCCCTGCCGGGGACTTAGCTCAGTGGTGCCACCGCCTGCCTCACAAGCGCAAGGTCCCGAGTTATCCCCGGTA